TGTTTTATATAACAAATGGTAAGCATTCAATATCTGGTAAGTGGGTTCTATTGCTACTTCTCAACAGAGGGTACTTGGGATCTTATTAATATTTATAATGTATTTATTCCTACTATCAAGCTGTCTGAGAGGCTGAATATATAAAGTAGTTGTTCTTAAACTTTTGCATGAATTAGAATGCACAGAGCATATGTATATATAAATAAATATATATGTAAATATATATATCAAATATATATCAAAGTAATATACAGATTACTGGGCCCTAGCTCTAGAATTTCTGATTAAGCAGGTATAGGGCAGGGTCCAAGAATTTGCATTTCTGACAGTCTCCTAGATGACACTAATACTACACTGATGGTCCTGGCATCATCCTTTGAGACTTGATTCTTGCTTTCTTCACATCTCCCTCAGCCCAGACAGTTGCACATGGGAGTCACTCACAGAGTTTTCAAAATTACTAATGTGTGAGTCCCATACTATAGATTTCTAATTTAATAATAGTTCTAGGGTGCAGCCTGAGCATTAGTGTTTTGAAAGTTTCCCAAGTGATTCTAATGAGAAGCCAAGGTTGAGAACTGGGGCCCCAGGTGCATGTCAATGAAGCTTTGCATCTCAAAGTGTGGTTCTCAGACTAGCGGCATCCACATCACCAGGAAGCTTGTTAGAAATGCACAAACTCAGACTCCACCTGGACCTAACTAATCAGAATCTGCATTTTAAATAAGATCTTCCAAATGATTCTTGTGCATGTAAAGTTTGAGAAGCTCTGAAACAGGGAGTCTTCTCACCCAGCTCATATCAGAGGAAGTATTACCAGATCTTATCTTTGCTTCAGGGATTGTCTTTCCTAAAAGATGAGGATTTAAGACAAAATAAGGAACTCATTACTTCTGACCTTTCCCCCAAAAGAGGGGTTTTTCTCCTACATTGCAGGCATGAGTCTGAGAACACTTCTCTCTTTGTCCCCTCCTTTTCTCCTCTCTATCTTCCCAGACTCAGTTTCCAACTCCAGACACAGCCTTCATCACACCTGCTTATTAATGCCAAGGCTTCATACTCTGATTCAAATAAAGACAGGAGGCAGGATCAATGTCTTAGTAAAATTCAGAAAAATGAAACTCCTCTTTTAAAACATGTTAGCATGTGGTTTCTCCCTAAATTACCCTAACACACAAATGTGTTGAGTACTAAAATAAAATCTTTATCCACTACAGGCTGGAAAGTGGAAAGTAACATTGAAGGGATGCCTAATGATTTGGAAAAAGAAAAAGATCCAGCTGCATTAGTGAAGAAATTATGAGGTGTCTATGACCAGAGAAACCTGAAATGTGCTAATTGAATGCCCTCAGATGCCATTATCAGTAAGGCCCCTCCAGAGCCAGCAGCACAAGCTCATCTAAGCAGAAACCTGAGCTAACAGCGAAGAGAACTGTACTGACGGCCTAAGTAGGGTTCTAGGGTGCATGAGTCAGCAGGGTAGGGTCCTTGTGCATATGAGTTCATTAGGAATCTTCCATAATCAAGAGCGAAAATCACCTCTGGTTGAGTGTGCCATTATGTATTTGAAACCCAGAGAGAAAACAAGTTTTATTTTTAGAGAGAACAATAACAGCCATATTAGGAATATATACATGCACACATTGCAGTCATGTACACATGCCCCCACACACACTCCAAATCACAACTTTCATTACTCCAAATGTGTTCCATGGACCAGTAGCATCAGCATCATCTGACCCTACCTTGTACCTACAGTTTATGAATCTGCATTTTAACAAGATCCTCAGGTCATTTGATGCACTTTAAAGTTCGAAAAGAATGACTCAAGACCAGTGGTTCACAGCTTTGGCTGTGCACTAGAATCACTCAGGAATTTCAATACGCAGCAAATTTTGACAGTAAATGGTCTAAAATCAAAGATAAAATTATGCCCTCTCTTATCCCTTCAAATTGAGCCCTTTCACCACTTTTAAAACAGGGCTTTGATGTGCAAGAGAAATACTTTAACACTGCTATTGGAAGATATGGCTAATAACTCTTAGACGAGATCAGGCGCATTCAGGGTGGTATGGCCATAGACAGCTAATAGCTCCTCTAAAGACTAACTTTATTCTCTTCTAGTAATTATCTCTTTAGCTAGAAGCTTACTGAAAATACAAACCACGACTTACTTTGTATAATATGAGACTTCAGGCAAACCAAAGAGCTTGGCCAGCATCGATGCTCAACCAATGTTTGTAATTAATGATAAATTACTGATAATAAGTGAAAGCTCAGAATTCTGTCTTCTCTGTGCTGTTCATTTTTTTGTACATTTCAATTATGGAAGGCATTGTTAAGGTTATATCTCTTCATAAATATTAGAAGCTCTTTGAAATGCAGAAACACATTCCTGCTTCTTCCCCCATCCAAATATATAATATATTAATAAACACAGAACATGTATTCAGTGAGTCTAAAGTTTTTATGAAACGAGAAGGCATGATTTTTACAAGAGAACATTTGAATTTTTGTAATTATGAAGCATGCATTACTGGGAGTTTGCTGCATTTTACATAAGAACTTTTTAATTAATGAGAATTCAAGAATGAGAAAAAAAGCTGTCAATAATAATGTTCTTAAAACTAATGTCTTCTAAGATATGTCATAGATTTAGAATATATTCAACAGAGCATACTGCACTTTACTTTCTATAAATCTGTGCAGTGAGTTTCTGTGTTTGGAATGATGACACTAGACAAGGGGTTGGCTAATGTTTTCTATAAAGGACCAGGTAGTAACTGTTTTTTCTTTGTTTCACCAGCCATGCAGCCTCTGTCACACCTGTCTACTCTGATATTGAAAACGGCCATAGACAACAAGTAAGCAAATGCTTGTGCTTGTGTCCTAACAAAACAATTTATGAGAACAGGTGAATTTGGCCCACAGGATATAACCCCTATAACTGGATAATGTAAGAGATAAATGTGGAATAAATTATAATTACAAAGGCAAAATAAATTAGTTTTGGTAGAAGCTAGAGTATAAACAACTGCCAAACAATGCAAACACACATACTTAGATACTATTTTCACAGAGAAAAGGAAACTATAAATCCTTACCAAATTTTTCAGAACCATTGTGGGGGTGGAGAGTGAGAAAATGCTCTGTTAAGTTGTAACCTTAAGAAATATATAATTTACCAGGACATAATATTCCTCAAATAGTCAGATTATTCACAATTTTCTGTAAAGATTGTAGCAACAAGACTGTAGGATGACTTCTCCATTACAGAGAGAATCAAGTGATGACTTCAATAAGTGAACTGGAAACAACCCACCTTAGTTTTCCAGCGGAAGTAGGTTAATGAGAAAGCCAACCTGGAGCTGATGGAAACACTTATAGTCAAAATAATGTCTACTACACTGTAAAAGCTCTTAGTCTTTTGATTTGTGCATTGATCAAAGATCATTTCAGGATTGAAACTGTTGAATCCTAAGTGGATAGGTAAAAAAAAAAAAAAAATTATCAGGTTCCCTGGTAATTTGGAGATTCCTTCTCTCAGAGGACATAATAATTAGCCCAGGAGGATACTCAGCCAAACCTAGTATGCTATTGTGGTTCTCTTGACAATGTCTAACTCAATGGTCTTCACCACTCATGAGACCAAATGCACACACAAGAAAATGGATTTCTCTAGCAAATAAGATGTTAAAATATTAGCTTGGTCTTAACAGATGGTCCTCCAAGTTTAACCTGGTTTGATAATTTTGGAACACATAAATTTTTGTTTGATCAGAATTGATTATTAGAGCACATTCATGGTTAAATATTCTGGATTTGAAAAAGAAATTTAGTTTCACTCAGGGTTTCAGCAAGCTGGTGTCATGTTTGTTGTTGTTGTGATGGTGGTTGTGGTTTTCTTGTGGGGTTTGGTTTAAGACCCACCTATTAAACTCTTTACCATCTCCTTCTTTCTTCCTCATTCTAGAAGTATTTCTCCTCCAGAGCAGTAGGTGCTTACACAACACATGCTAATGAACTAGAAATAAGATATTAATTTGATATTAATAAGATATTAATAGATATTAATTTGGTTACGGGCAAGTTGTATTTACATATTTCGGCCTGAGAATTGGATGTTGCTTTAGAGGCGATGAAGTATCTCTAAGGAAGTTTCTTAGATTTAAACCTCTCTTATAATTTCTGGCTTCATGTTAAACATGTAACAGTTTCCCTCTCGTAGCATTTTGTGGAAATTGGTAATGTACATGGCCATTTACAAAATGGGAACTGGGCTGAATACACACACGATTTTGCCTGGGAAATCTCACGTTTCGGTGCCAATTATTTTATTAAATTCTCACAATATCCTTTGGAGAGTTTACCTTTGGTTTTCACTTTATAGATGAGGAAACTTAGTATAAGAGAACTGGAGTTACATGGATAGTAAATAGCAAAACCTAGATCTTAACCTATGAGAATGATTCTAAAAGAATGTTCAACTACAATGTTCCATTTCTCAATTAAAACCTATAGTATTCTGCAAAGTGCCAGGGAATTGTCATCTCTTCTGTTTGGGAGAAATTGTATTTGGAGAGTAGGTAAGAGACAAAGTTAGAAAGAAAGGTGGACGCTGCATAAATACAATTTTATAAGCAATATTAAAGTTTCCACATCTTTCTTTTCCTTAGTTGGCTTAGTCTGGGATATGACATGAAGTTAAAACATGTGCATTTCTAGAGGGGGTTGTGCACATATGTATACATCTAGGTCTGTAGGTGAAGAAGAAACTGTGAAGAAACTAACAAGAGACAAGGTGGTATTTGCCATTAAGTTTACAATGAGGACCATAATGTGTTCCAGTTAATACCTGTTGTAGATGAAATACTATGTTTTCATTATTTTAGTGCCTTTTCCCCCTTTCACTCTCAAACATTTCCCAGTTTGGGCAATAAATTGTATTGCAGTTGTATCTATAATAAAATATTCAAATAATTTCATTTTTATTTAAGTGTTTTTTATGCTTTATTGAAATCTTAATGTATCCTTAAATATTTCTTGGAATATTTTATTTCTAGGAAAACAGACTTGATCATTCCTTCAGATATTTGTGGAAAGCACTGAAACAGCCACTGAAGGGTGGGAATGAATCCACAAATGAAGGTGATAGCCTATAAGCAAAAGCGATAATGACGACATGATTATAACAGAATCTTTTAACAGAGGTAGGTAAAGCCATTTCTGGAAAGAAGAGGCTTGATCAACGATAGGAGCTTTGTCCTGGACATAAAATATGTGAACAAGAGTTTATGTGGTGGTCAGTGTAGCTGAAGAATATTTTAGAAAATCAAGTCAACAAAAACATACAAGCCCTCAGCAAACTGAAAGCTACCGGGGGGAGAGTAAGGGCTAACTCTTTCTGCCTCCAATGCTGAGCAGCAAGAGGATAAAGAGAGGGAGAAAAAAGCAGCAGGGATTTCTCTCAGTTTCTCTGGTCAGACATAAGGACTCTCCTTTCTTGGAGTTTTGGATACCTGACGAGCCACCACCGCAATTGTCACCACTGCAATTGTCACCACCACTGCCATAGAATTTCCTGGGAGATGGAGCAGTAGAAACCATAAATTCTCTTTGGCCCCATGAGGCCCTCTTTCTCCTTCTTTAGACTAAAATTAAGTGGGTTTTCTTGGAGTTCATTCTGTCTGTACCTGATGTATAGTTCCTGTTTTCCAGCTGTCTCGGTCCTACAGCAGGAGATGCCAGAGGGGAAAAGTGGTTCAATAGTTCTTCAGGTTCTGGTTGCTTTCCTTAGTCTGCCTGCTGCCACGTACTTTACAGGCTCCACAGAGAACTGCTATATATATTCCATCCAGGGTTTTAACTTCCTTCATGGAGAGAGACAGAGTGGAATATGTTTACTGCATCTTGACTAGACATCCCAGAAAGGATGGGATATCCCAGAAAAGATGTCTTAATTACTGTAAAAAGATTGGCTTAATGACTAAAAGTATCCAGAAACCTTTTTATCTGAAACTTGAGAAAGTCATTGGACCCATCTTAGCTTTCACCCAAGAGCTGGGGGAGAAAAGAATAAAGTTGTTTTATGAAGTGTCTTTCAACTTAATGGCTCCATATGGTTAAATTTTTAAAAAGAATATTTACAAGTATTTCACCTTAGTAATCAATTCTACAGAGCCAGTAGGAAAAATTAAAAAAAATAAAAATAAAAAAATAAAAGTCAGTCTGAAAGTACTTGAAATGCTTAATTATTTTTCAGAGTAGACAGTAAGGAAGAAAAAGGCCCAGATCCTAACTTTGGCTCTCCGCTTCACTGAATTACCAAAAGAAGGCACGTCTTCAGCCGTGGCTTCAGATCAGGGCAAGATGGGAACTTCATCATGCCCGTGTTATTGTTGGGGGATTGATCCAAAAAGAAAAGACCTAAGTTTCAGCTGGTCCCAAACCATGGAGAATTTTACCCACACAAAGCCCCCATTTGCCAATGCAAATCTGGTAATTGGACACTTAATTACCCTATTTGCACACATAAATGAGGGGTGTTCCTGCAAGAAATCAGAGTCCACTCTTATAACTTTGGCCGCAAGCAATGAAACCACATGCTTTTGTCAACAGTTAAGTTGATTAGAATTGTGTTTATTTCTGCTCGTGTTAGGCCACATGTATTTTCACTGGAGCCTGATGTCTATTGAGTTAAAAGCTTAGTTTAAAAAACCTATGTTATGCAGAAAACCTAGATAGTAATTGCCAACTATGTGCCAAGAATCCTTTCATCATGTAGAGAATACAAGGTCTGAATAAAAAGAAATATTCTTTGCAACCTCATATGCTTGGGCAGACCCAGCAGTCTTATCGTCATAATAAAGACAGAAGGGCCTTTTAAAAGAATACTTTAAGCAAAATTTCCAGCATGGATTACTCTTTTGGGTAAATGGCTCAAACATTGAATTTTCCCATTTCCCTAGGGCAGGTAAAGGAGTGAATTTTCTCTGAATATCTTCTAGCTAGACAGTGTCCTAACAATGTCCTTAGGGGGAAAAATGTTCTTTCATTTGGAAGCATGTATTGTGAGTAGGCCCATCTGGGTTTCCTCCCTATGAATAGAAACATCAAGATTTGGCCGTTTTCTGATCTTTGATTATATGCAGGCCTGAGTTCTAGTCCTGGCTGTAACTCAAACTGTGTACTATTGGGGACAGATTCAGTTCCTTACAAGTGCTGAAAAAAAATGGTGAAGGGAAAGCTTGCCAGGGAGGATCAAGCAGTAAGTCTGGGAAATGGAGGCAGGCACAGGAGGCTTCTAAGGTAGCAATGGTGGAGGAAGATGAGCAGTAAGGAACGATCATTAGATTAGGTGATTTGAAGGTCAATAGTAACTTGGTCACTAGGTGCTTAATAAATATTCTTTGAGTGAATGGCTTAATTATCAGCACAATTTGTTGAGCACCCCCTGCCCAGGAAGCACCATGCGAGGAGTCTGGATTACTTAGAAAAAGAAAATGGGCTCCTGCTTACAAGAGAGTTGTGAGAGTACTCACCAAAGAGTGAAAACTAGCCAAGGCGAAACAACTGAGCAAGACATTCAAAGATGTAATGTGAAATGAGGGAGCAAGATGAGTTCTTACATAGTGATAGGGTGCCTCCTTTGTATTGCATTCCATAGAGGGGGTCCCCTCCCACCTCAGGTGCAGGGGATCAAACTATGGAAAGACGGAAGCTGGCTTGTCTCCATCACTGCTGTGATCACCTTAGGTTCAATAGATGCCAACCAATGCAGAAAAGCCGTGCACCTGGGGAAGTCCTACTCCAACACGGTGAAAACCAGAGGACTCTGGAACCAGGCCTGAATTCTGGTGGCCCAGAGGTACAGTGCTTGATTTCATCACTTCTTTTGTCTCTCTGCATTATGGGGCATTTGGACTCTCTTACTTGGGCTCCATCTTCTTTCATTATTTCTCACGTGGACATGTGGGATACACACACAAACACACACACAAACACACACACTATATATATGTGTGTGTGTATATATATAAAATATAATAAATGCTATATTATTATTGTTTTATTTCCAAGGTGAATATTCAAACGAAATTCTGCTTATGTGTTATGCATGAAAATGGTTATGTGTGAAAACTGTTAGTTTGAGGACAGAAACAGAAGTACAGGCCCTGTATGTCACATTCATCACTATAATCAACTTCCTCACCATCCCATCCCTCAATAAGACATGTTTTAAAATCTTCATCACAATTTTTTTCCTTGTTTCCTTCTTCCATTCTCTTTCTTCCTTTTTTTCTCTCTCTTTCTTTCTTTTCTTTCGAGAAGCTGCAAGTGCTATTGTGATGGGCTTGACTGGAAATTATTGAAAAGTGGCTCTTTTAGTTGAACATAGAAGTAACAGTGTTTAAAGATGTGTTATCAGTGGCTAAACACTCTGACCAAACTTTAGAGGTCAGGGGGTTAGGAAAAATATTTTTTCACTTTTACAAACCTGTGAACTTCAGCTGTGTCCTGTTGGTTTAGAAGCAGAAGAGAGGGGAAGAAATTACCTTTAGTAAGTGTTGACTAGATTCCAGGCTCATTAACCAAATTATCTCAGTTAACTCTCTCTGCCACCTTCAGGTAGGTATTAATATTTACTTTAGAGATGAGGAAGAGTGTTGTTTAGAGAAGATTGACAACTTGCATAGGGTTACCTAGGGAAGGAAAAGAATCAGAAGGCATGTTCTATGACCTTAAAACACATCCAAAATACTGGTGGTTTTTAAAGCTGTGGGTCAATAAATCAATTTAATGTATCATGACTAGAGGTTTTTTTTTTTTTTTTTTTTTTTTTTTTTTTTTTTTTTTTTTTTTTTTTTTTTTTTTTTTTTTTTTTTTTTTTTTTTTTTTTTTTTTTCATGACTAGAGTTTTTTTAATTAAAAAATAGACTAAAATATATTTGAAAATATCCAAGTACCATTTCCTGAAGCTTCTGCTTTAGTGCACACGTGGGGGTGTGTGTATTATGTTATGATGAAAAATGTATTTCTCCCTGAATTGTAGTCAAGTTTGAAAGCCACTGCAATTACCCATACTGGTGCTATGCAGTAAGAAAAAAGATGTCTAGTTAATTGTCATTAGGGTAACTACTTAATTTATAATCCAAACAAGAACACTTTGGAAAATGAAGGAAATGTTATCATTAATTACAGGAGGTTAGTGGACATAACGGGGATTTTTCTGGGAAAAGTTAAATGAGCATTCACACCAATAAACATTGCTATGGTCTGAATGTTTGTGTTCCTCCAAAATTCATATGTTGAAGACTAATCCCCAATGTGTTAGTATTAAGAAGTAGGGTCTTGGGGAGGTGATTAAGTCATGAGACTGGAGCCCTCACAAATAATATTAGTGTCCTTGTGAAAGAGGGCTGGGGGAGTTTGTTTGCTCCTTCCACCACATGAAGGTATAGCAAGAAGGATGGAGCCCTCGCCAGACAAACCCCACCACCGCCTTGATCTTGGACTTTCCAGCCTACAGAACTGTGAGAAATAAATTTCTTTTGTTTATAAATTACCCAGTCTATGGTATTTTGGGTATAGAAATCCAAAAGGATGGAGACAATCACCCACTTCTCATCCCCATATCTTACATTTTAGCAACAAAATGACTGATAAAAAATAGAAAATACATTTAGGAGAGAATTGTGACATATTTTGTACTCAGTGAGGCGAAACAACTATTTCAGGTTACAGACACATGTTTTTTCCCCAGTACACTATTAAAGTTCTAAATCATTGTATACTGGTGCAAAGAATATATTATTTCTCCTATTCAGAGACTGCAATGTTTGTCAGCACAATCTTGCATTATTAATGCATTATTACAAGCACAGTTTTGTGCTTGTAACTAACTCTATGCAATACCTATTGCATTTTTACAAATAATAGCAAGAGCATTGCAAGTTTAACTTCACTCCTTTATCTTCACTACATTTTACAACATGTGTGTGATATCAGTTATAAAGGCTGACATTCTAAAGTAAAGGGTTAAATGGCAATACATGGAGGATCAATGATCATATTACTTACACTATCTGAAAATATGAATGTTCGATCTGTGGACAGTGCTTTTGGAGAATGTGTGGTCTTTCATCATCCCTGCTCCTCTTCTGCTCACCATTGATACCTGCAGGAAAAGAATTAAAAAATGTCAAGTTATTGGGAGTACCCAGCTTTTTTGCTACCATATTCCTTCCAGGGATTTTTTTCTGTTATTTGTTCATTTAGTAGATGTAATTATGATCTATATGCTAGTTACTGTGCTAACACACTAGGAATAGAAAAATGAATTAGAAATTTTCTCTGCCCTTGATGGTTGTATAGTTCAGAGAGAGAGAAGGAGAAAGAGAGAGAGAGAGAGAGAACAGATAAAAGACCACGCAATTATGACAAAAGCTATAATAAATGAACAGAATCCTCTGGACACTCAGATAGCTAAAGAGACTCTGCTGTGTACTGAATGTGTCTACTCCAAAATTCACATGTTGAAACTTATTCCCAATTTGATGATATTTGAAGGTAGGGCCTTTGGGAAGTAATTAGGTCATGAGAGTGGAGCCCTCATGAATGGGATTAGTGCCCTTATGAAAAGAAGGGACATGAGCTCTTTCTTTCTGCTCTGTGCCATGTTAGGCTACAAGAAGGTGGCCATCTGCAAACCAGGAAGTGGGTCCTCATCAGACACCAAATCTGCCAGAACTTTTATCTTGGGACTTTCTCGCCTCCAAAACTGTGAGCAATAAATGTTTGTCGTTTAAGACATCCAGTCGAAAAATAATGGTCTCGGCGGAGGGCGGAGCAAGATGGCCGAATAGGAACAGCTCCAGTCTCCAACTCCCAGCGCTAGCGACACAGAAGACCGGTGATTTCTGCATTTTCAACTGAGGTACTGGGTTCATCTCACTGGGGAGTGCCGGACGATCGGTGCTGGTCAGCTGCTGCAGCCCGACCAGCGAGAGCTGAAGCAGGGCGAGGCATTGCCTCACCTGGGAAGCGCAAGGAGGAAGGGAATCCCTTTTCCTAGCCAGGGGAACTGAGACACACAACACCTGGAAAATCGGGTAACTCCCACCCCAATACTGCGCTTTAAGCAAACAGGCACACCAGGAGATCATATCCCACACCTGGCCGGGAGGGTCCCACACCCACGGAGCCTCCCTCATTGCTAGCACCGTAGTCTGTGATCTACCGGCAAGGCAGCAGCGAGACTGGGGGAGGGGTGCCTGCCATTGCTGAGGCTTAAGTAGGAAAACAAAGCCGCTGGGAAGCTCGAACTGGGTGGAGCTCACAGCAGCCCAAGGAAACCTGCCTGTCTCTGTAGACTCCACCTCTGGGGACAGGGCACAGTAAACAATAACAAACACAGCCGAAACCTCTGCAGACGCAAACGACTCTGTCTGACAGCTTTGAAGAGAGCAGTGGATCTCCCAACACGGAGGCTGAGATCTGAGAAGGGACAGACTCCCTGCTCAAGTGGGTCCCTGACCCCTGAGTAGCCTAACTGGGAGACATCCCCCACTAGGGGCAGTCTGACACCCCACACCTCACAGGGTGGAGTACACCCCTGAGCAGAAGCTTCCAAAGCAAGAATCAGACAGGTACACTCGCTGTTCAGAAATATTCTATCTGCTGCAGCCTCTGCTGCTGATACCCAGGCAAACAGGGTCTGGAGTGGACCTCAAGCAATCTCCAACAGACCTACAGCTGAGGGTCCTGACTGTTAGAAGGAAATCTATCAAACAGGAAGGACACCTACACCAAAACCCCATCAGTACATCACCATCATCAAAGACCAGAGGCAGATAAAACCACAAAGATGGGGAAAAAGCAGGGCAGAAAAGCTGGAAATTCAAAAAATAAGAGCGCATCTCCCCCGGCAAAGGAGCGCAGCTCATCGCCAGCAACGGATCAAAGCTGGACAGAGAATGACTTTGACGAGATGAGAGAAGAAGGCTTCAGTCCATCAAATTTCTCAGAGCTAAAGGAGGAATTACGTACCCAGCGTAAAGAAACTGAAAATCTTGAAAAAAAAGTGGAAGAATTGATGGCTAGAGTAATTAATGCAGAGAAGGTCATAAACGAAATGAAAGAGATGAAAACCATGACACGAGAAATACGTGACAAATGCACAAGCTTCAGTAACCGACTCGATCAACTGGAAGAAAGAGTATCAGCGATTGAGGATCAATTGAATGAAATGAAGCTAGAAGAGAAACCAAAAGAAAAAAGAAGAAAAAGAAATGAACAAAGCCTGCAAGAAGTATGGGATTATGTAAAAAGACCAAATCTACGTCTGATTGGGGTGCCTGAAAGTGAGGGGGAAAATGGAACCAAGTTGGAAAACACTCTTCAGGATATCATCCAGGAGAACTTCCCCAACCTAGTAGGGCAGGCCAACATTCAAATCCAGGAAATACAGAGAACGCCACAAAGATACTCCTCGAGAAGAGCGACTCCAAGACACATAATTGCCAGATTCACCAAAGTTGAAATGAAGGAAAAAATCTTAAGGGCAGCCAGAGAGAAAGGTCGGGTTACCCTCAAAGGGAAGCCCATCAGACTAACAGCAGATCTCTCAGCAGAAACTCTACAAGCCAGAAGAGAGTGGGGGCCAATATTCAACATTCTTAAAGAAAAGAATTTTAAACCCAGAATTTCATATCCAGCCAAACTAAGTTTCATAAGTGAAGGAGAAATAAAATCCTTTACAGATAAGCAAATGCTTAGAGATTTTGTCACCACTAGGCCTGCCTTACAAGAGATCCTGAAGGAAGCACTAAACATGGAAAGGAACAACCAGTACCAGCCATTGCAAAAACATGCCAAAATGTAAAGACCATCGAGGCAAGGAAGAAACTGCATCAACTAACGAGCAAAATAACCAGTTAATATCATAATGGCAGGATCAAGTTCACACATAACAATCTTAACCTTAAATGTAAATGGACTAAATGCTCCAATTAAAAGACACAGACTGGCAAACTGGATAAAGAGTCAAGACCCATCAGTCTGCTGTATTCAGGAGACCCATCTCACACGCAGAGACATACATAGGCTCAAAATAAAGGGATGGAGGAAGATTTACCAAGCAAATGGAGAACAAAAAAAAGCGGGGGTTGCAATACTAGTCTCTGATAAAACAGACTTTAAACCATCAAAGATCAAAAGAGACAAAGAAGGCCATTACATAATGGTAAAGGGATCAATTCAACAGGAAGAGCTAACTATCCTAAATATATATGCACCCAATACAGGAGCACCCAGATTCATCAAGCAAGTCCTTAGAGACTTACAAAGAGACTTAGACTCCCATACAATAATAATGGGAGACTTCAACACTCCACTGTCAACATTAGACAGATCAACGAGACAGAAAGTTAACAAGGATATCCAAGAATTGAACTCATCTCTGCAGCAAGCAGACCTAATAGACATCTATAGAACTCTCCACCCCAAATCAACAGAATATACATTCTTCTCAGCACCACATCGTACTTACTCCAAAATTGACCACGTAATTGGAAGTAAAGCACTCCTCAGCAAATGTACAAGAACAGAAATTATAACAAACTGTCTCTCAGACCACAGTGCAATCAAATTAGAACTCAGGACTAAGAAACTCAATCAAAACCACTCAACTACATGGAAACTGAACAACCTGCTCCTGAATGACTACTGGGTACATAACGAAATGAAGGCAGAAATAATGATGTTCTTTGAAACCAATGAGAACAAAGATACAACATACCAGAATCTCTGGGACACATTTAAAGCAGTGTGTAGAGGGAAATTTATAGCACTAAATGCCCACAAGAGAAAGCAGGAAAGATCTAAAATTGACACTCTAACATCGCAATTAAAAGAACTAGAGAAGCAAGAGCAAACACATTCGAAAGCTAGCAGAAGGCAAGAAATAACTAAGATCAAAGCAGAACTGAAGTAGATAGAAACACAAAAAACCCTCCAAAAAATCAATGAATCCAGGAGTTGGTTCAACAAAATTGACAGACCACTAGCAAGACTAATAAAGAAGAAAAGAGAGAAGAATCAAATCGACGCAATTAAAAATGATAAAGGGGATATCACCACCGACCCCACAGAAATACAAACTACCATCAGAGAATACTATAAACACCTCTACGCAAATCAACTGGAAAATCTAGAAGAAATGGATAATTTCCTGGACACTTACACTCTTCCAAGACTAAACCAGGAAGAAGTTGAATCCCTGAATAGACCAATAGCAGGCTCTGAAATTGAGGCAATAATTAATAGCCTACCAACCAAAAAAAGTCCAGGACCAGATGGATTCACAGCCGAATTCTACCAGAGGTACAAGGAGGAGTTGGTACCATTCCTTCTGAAACTATTCCAATCAATAGAAAAAGAGGGAATCCTCCCTAACTCATTTTATGAGGCCAACATCATCCTGATACCAAAGCCTGGCAGAGACACAACAATAAGAGAGAATTTTAGACCAATATCCCTGATGAACATCGATGCAAAAATCCTCAATAAAGTACTGGCAAACCGGATTCAGCAACACATCAAAAAGCTTATCCACCATGATCAAGTGGGCTTCATCCCTGGGATGCAAGGCTGGTTCAACATTCGCAAATCAATAAACATAATCCAGCATATAAACAGAACCAAAGACAAGAACCACATGATTATCTCAATAGATGCAGAAAAGGCTTTTGACAAAATTCAACAGCCCTTCATGCTAAAAACGCTCAATAAATTCGGTATTGATGGAACGTACCTCAAAATAATAAGAGCTATCTATGACAAACCCACAGCCAATATCATACTGAATGGGCAAAAACTGGAAAAATTCCCTTTGAAAACTGGCACAAGACAGGGATACCCTCTCTCACCACTCCTATTCAACATAGTGTTGGAAGTTCTGGCTAGGGCAATTAGGCAAGAGAAAGAAATCAAGGGTATTCAGTTAGGAAAAGAAGAAGTCAAATTGTCCCTGTTTGCAGATGACATGATTGTATATTTAGAAAACCTCATCATCTCAGCCCAAAATCTCCTTAAGCTGATAAGCAACTTCAGCAAAGTCTCAGGATACAAAATTAGTGTGCAAAAATCACAAGCATTCTTATACACCAGTAACAGACA